GATGCAAGGTGAACACACTAACCACTGTACTACACATTGATGTAAGGTGAACATGCCAACCACTGTACCACACATTGATGCAAGGCAAACACATCAACCACTGTACCACACATTGATGCAAGGCAAACACATCAACCACTGTACCACACATTGATGCAAGGGGAACACACTAACCACTGTACTATACATTGATGCAAGGTGAACACACTAACCACTGCACCACACATTGATGCAAGGTGAACACACTAACCACTGTACCACACATTGATGCAAGGTGAACACACTAACCACTGTACCACACATTGATGCAAGGTGAACACACTAACCACTGCACCACACATTGATGCAAGGTGAACACACCAACCACTGTACCACACATTGATGCAAGGTGAACACACTAACCACTGTACCACACATTGATGCAAGGTAAACAAACACTCATATACAACAATGTAAAGTATACATATACTTTAATGACATCACAAATTGGCAGTGAATAAAATTAAATGTATATTGTATGGATCTTAAAATATAAAATATGTTCATCTAATGATGAAACATTGGAAAACGATATGGGCAAACTGTAGCACTTCACAAAAAAAGCTCAGTAAAAATACAATGCAAGAGCAACTATTAAATTATTTTCATGATTATAGAAAAATCAGTTAAGATGCACAAACAGAGCCCAGAACTTTCAGCTGAACAGGCAACTAAAAATCATTTTAACTGGATGTTTTCATCTGAGCACATGTGATAAGGAAGCAGTGAGAGACACAAAGGACACAGTTTTTATTAGTAGGAAAGTTATCTTCTGGAAGATGCCTTTAGATTTTGTGTGTCCCAGGCAATGACAAAAAAGTTATCTTCTGTATTTACATGTTCTGTTTAGCATACAATGACAACAAAATTAACTTCTGGAAGAGCAGCCTCTGTATTTATATTGTCTGTTTAGCATGCAATGACAACAATGTTATCTTCTGGAAGAATAGCCTCTGTATTTAGATGGTCTGTGTTCTTGTGATGAAGGTGATGCCATTCTTTTTCTTGATCTGCTTTCTCTTGGAGGAGAATTTCTTGTATGTGATGGCTGTCTTCTTCTAGGATAGTCATCTTTAGCATGTGCTTTCTTCCCACTATAATAATCAAATTGATCTGACATCGGTTTGTAGTGTTCTCGACTCGATTGGCGCCTTGGACGAATGCCATAACTAGGTCTTGCAGATGATCTGTCATCAGGGTTCTGGCCTACTTTGCTTGTTGAAAGATAATGTTCAGAGTGCTGACGTGTATCATGTGATCTCTCAGAAGTAGCAGAATGTTCCTTCCGCTCACTTTTTGCAGGCCGTGTTCTTGGTTCATCTCTCCGTCGCGTGGACACACTCTTTTCAGTATTATCAGGAGGTTCAGCTTTACGAAGACTACGAAGATTTACTCCCAAAGCTTCACAATCCTGTTCCTTTTTGACATCAGTTGAAGTATCAACATCAGTGGAAGGTGGCTGGACCTTTATGGATGGAAGATCAGGCCCTACAGGGGGAAGGCTGAAGATAGGAATAGTCTCTCCTGAAGTAGTTGACTTAGCTTCCTCCAGGTCCTCAAAAAAGGAAGGTTCATCTTGGGTTGGTGTAGCTGGTGATTCAAAGTCCTCTTCTTTCAACTGGGTTACTGGAGATTCTCGTTCTTTCAAATCCTCTTGCACATGACCTGCCAATGGAATCCCTACTGATCTGCCATCAGTAACATCTTTAACAGCTGACATCTCAGTAGAAGATGATGTGCTGCCACATTTTTCTGGTGGGAATGCCACAGCTTCCTGACTTTCACTGGATGGGCTACCTGAAACTCCAGATGACAGAGTGGATGATCTCCTTACTGATCTACGAAGACCACTGCTGTATGCACTTAACTCAAGGGCTTTCGCAATAAAAGTCTGCTCATAAGAAGGACCCACATCTGGGATTGATGATGTAAAGAATGAATCTGGGAGCTTGTCATCTGCATCAATAATCTTCTTTTTTCTTCCTGGTTTACCTTTCTCTGGCTTTATGTCAGAACCTGTTTTATCAGAATCATCATTTCCCTTTGTCCCATCAGTCTTGTCGGTTTTGTTGTCTTCCACTTCTTTCATTCCATCATCCTTTGACTTGAAGTCCACTTCCTCCCCTTCTTCTATTTCCTCATCTTCATCATCGTCGTCGTCAATATCTTCTTCATCATCGTCCTCCTCCTCCTCCTCTCCACCAAACTGACCTGATCTCACTTTCTGTGAAAACAAAGAGGTAAATTCTGATGACAAATACTTCTTATTCAGTGTTCGCTGTCTTCGTAGGGCCATCTTCTTTTCAAGAACTTTCTGTTCTCTTTTTGCCTGAACCTTTTCTTCTTTCTTGAGTTTCTTTCTCCTCTTTGCTTCTGAAAATAAAAAAAGATACAATAGAGTGATAATATATAATTAGGGTTGTTTTACACAAACAGCTTGAATTATATGGTACTATGCATTTATCGTGCGTTACAAGAAGCACACCAGCTTAATCCGAAAATTAAGAACTTATGTTTCTATGGCAACAGTTTAGCATGCATACTCATTATACATAATTCCACTTTGACATTTGATCCATGACAGCCAAGAACATGTTGTAAGCAGTAAATGTTTCTTAACTCTTAGTTTGAAAGTGAATTTCATCTTTTGTCACTTTTTACAAAATACACCTTTATATTTTATTGGAAGTTATGCCAATTTGGGATAAATTTAACAAATTAACAACTAGCAAAATGCACACTGAAAGTTTGGGAAGAAACAATGTACAAACAGCATTTACGATCAGCCATGACACCAGAAACAAAAGCTTTAGGGGGAGGCTACAACACTATTAATTTAAAGGAGACACCTTTGCAATATTCTTGCTTTGAATTTACATTTAACAATTCATGTTTGTGAAATGCACACAGCTACTAAAAACTCCTTATTTATTCATAAGGCTTTTCACTAATAAGTGAAATCCATGTGAACAAGTAAAAATTACAATAGAACTGTTTCACTGGCAATGAGTAAATCTGTGAATTAATAACTAAGTATCAAAATAGTAAAATACCTGGAAAAATTAATACTACACTCAACAAAATGGATATCAGTTTGGATCAAATCACAAAGAACATAATCCATGCATTATATTCTAATACTATACTCCAGTATAGTTGCTGTGAGTACAACACTAAAAATGTCATCTGACAATCCTCCTGGTGACATCTTGGCAACAGACTGGCTACAACAACCCACCACCAACCTTCATTTTCTTTAGCAAGTTGTTTTGCTTTCTTACGCTCTTCCCGTTTTGTCCTTTTCTCTTCTTCGTATTGTTTCCATCTCTCAGTCATTTCTTCTTTCATCTGGTGCCTTCGCAACAAACGGTCTTCCTTCTCCTTAGCCTGTTATATACACAAGTAGTTACAAAAATATTCCTATTAGCAGGAAATAGAGAAAACTATTTTTTTGATAAAAAAATTCATAAAAGAAAAATATGGTGGGAATTGCTTTATATTTACTTGGTGTTATTAATCTGGTTATTATTTTCAATTACTGATTGAAAAGTATCATTTCAGAAAACAAATATTTTTTTGCCATTGACAAGTTGAGTTAATCATTGAACATAACTAGTGGTCTGATGATTGAAAATGCTCCATGTTTTGGTACAAAATACAGGGTTAAGTAGATACTTGGTTGTGGGTGATCCACACAAGCAATCAATTAATCAACCAAAATTTTGAAAATCAATACATGTTGCTGAAATTATCAAATTTGAAAGTCATGGTGCATTTTACATTTATCGGACAAAATTTCGTAATGCAATTTTTCAACAAAACATAAAATAATGTATTTACTCTATTAGAAATGAGCATAAGCTAAAAATTGCATTTATTGTTTACTGGATAATAAAAATATTCTACCAAAGCCACACCTCAGCTATTTACATAATCCATGCACTGGAGCAAATACAATATTCATCAAACCTGATGTACAAAAAGAAGAAAAATGTTGAAATAAAAATGTCAACTGAAAAAATTTAAATATCTGTGTTAAAACTTACAGCTTTTTTCCTTCTCTCTTCTCTACTCTCATCATCTTCACTGTCGCTATAGAAACGATTCAAAGTCAAAGCTTTAGTAGATGATCTTTTCTTGCTGCTGTCCGACTCACCACTTGTGTTACTTATTGGTGACTTCCCAGTACTTGCTGACAAATCAGTGTCTGAAAAAGGAAATTGACCTCATAATTGGTAAAATCTTATCTATTTCTGGAGTCATTCTATTACTTAGACATTTGTAAGAAGTCCCCTATTTCACGAATTTCACATCATATTTTTATTCTTGGTGCATGCACTTATATTAAATAATTAAGATGTATCTTAATATGAATAACATTTATTGATCCAGCATAAATTACAGATACGCTTCTGATACATCAAATGACAGTATTTATTATGCAATGAAAAGTGCCAAGATTTTGTCATTGAAATTGCACGAGATTTTGTAAGATTACAATAACTGAGTATTTATTTTACTTCAAAAAATTGTCTATTATTGACAGAATTTGTCTACGCTCCTAACATATTTATACATGGAAATAATAATATGTCTAAAGCATATTGATTCAAATTTGAATAACTAACCTTGTTCTTCTGATTCCAATTCTTCGCTACTTGACGAGGACACTGAGCTAAGTTCATCATCAAAAGATGACAAGTCACTGGTATGTACAGAACTAACCGTCACATCAGATAACTTATCATCAATGTCAGACATAGCATCCAAATCCTCATCTTTTTCTTGTTTAACCTCTGTTGAATCCATGGCAACTGACACCTTATTTGTCTCCTCACTATCTAACACACTTCCACAGTTTGAATCTTCTTCGATTTCAGATTGTTTTGGTTTTGGTTTTGTTGTCTCAAGCTTTGGAACACTCTCCATCCGGGACTCATCAGGACATTTATTATCATCCCTTTCTGTTACTGTCAGAGGTCTCTTCATTTCTCCTTTCAGTTCTCTATTTTTCTTCACTTCTCTTGCTGGCTCTTTACTGGACTTAACCTTACTCAAAGCACTCTCTTCCACTTTTTTGTCCTTTTTGTTCTCATTTACACCACCATCTTTTTTACTGGAGTCTACATGATCAGAATGCTTTGAAATTAATCCCTTTTTACTATCAGTCTTCAGTTTCACAGATGAATCTTTCATTTTCACTTTATCTTTAATCAATACATTTTTTTTGTCTTTTACATCAGTGTCTTTTGTTTTGTCTTTTGAACTTGTTTCTTGTCTAGATTTCCCTTCAGTAGTCAGCCTCGCTTTCAAGTCATCACTCATCTTTTTATCAGTATCACACTTCAGTGGTTTTACCTTTTCTTCTTTACTAATTTTGGCATCTGTTTTGGATTTCACTAATTTTTCCTTTCCTTTTGATTTGTCCAAAGTTTCCCTCGACTTGATTGGATCTAATTTATGTTTCTCCTTCTCTCCAGATTTGGTATCAGTTTTAATTTTTTCGCCTGTGATAACCTTTTTATCACTTTTTGGGGTAACTTTTCCAGACCTGTCAGATTTTTGTCCAGTTAGTTTATCAGCAGCATCAGGTTTTAGCTTTTCAGACTTAAAATCTTTAGAATGCACCTCGGTCTTTGAAGCTACATGTGTTGTCTTGCCTGGAACATGCTCTGTTCTTCTAGACTCACCAAGTTTTACAACCCCAGGTTTAAGTTTGGATTTTTCTACATCTTTTCCCAAATTTTTTTTGCTAGCTTTGGTAACGCCTTGTTTCAGCCTTGCCTTTGTTTCTGTAAGTTTTGTTGTTTCTGCAGCTGTCTTTTTCTGATCTCCTAATTGTTTAACTGGTTTACTAGCATCCCCAACATTTTTAATTGGTTTACCTGGTTCCCCTAGTTGTTTAGGTGATTTACCAAGCTCTCCCAGTTGCTTAGGTGATTTACCTAGTTCTCCCGCTTGTTTAACTGTTTTACCAAGATCTCCCACTTGCTTAACTG